TGGTGGGGGACAGGCTTTAAACGGGGGGGGGGGGTCTGAGGTTCACAGAGACACATCGTAAAATTGACAAGACGTCAATAATCTCTTAAAGTGTTTCAAAGACCTTGGTTACTTATGTGATCACGTATTAACAGGAGGGAATCCCCAGCTGTGGTCTATTTTCATTTGGGGGTGCTTGTTTTATGGTCCCCCCCTATCCCAATAGGGGGCAATTATGACGTCAGGCTTTTGCTCACTTCAGCTTCCCAACCTCCGCTCGGTTGAGTCAGATAGTTACCCTTTTACCAGAACAGGCAGATTTGTAACCCAACTTCCATAAAGTGACAGGTTAGCTGATCCAGCCTGAGGTTCTGACGGGCCACAGATAAACAGGGCCACTGTAAACCAGGCCCGCGCGGCCTCGTTAGTCCAAGGCTGTCAAACGGAGTGGAGAAAACAACCACGATTCGCTGTCAGGCCGCACAGTACAGGCAACCCTGCAAACCCCCCTGAGTTATCCAGCACCCCCTCCTCTCACACTTGCCAGCGAGCTGTCAACTATCTCCAGTCCGTTTTTCCCGATCTCTCCTGTAATTTTCCACTTCTTCGCGACAGTAACAGCGTGCCGTGTGTGAGCGCGGACTCAGTTCCCGCACCCCGTGAGACCACCCGCGGCCTCTGCCCGACGACAGCAGACGATGGCCGCGTTAGCCTTTAGCCTGCACTGTGGCTAATTCTCACAAGCAGCCCCTGCCACTGGCATTAACGTACACAGGATTAAATGGTGAGCTGGGGAACAATTCCAGCAACATAACTCCCACTTTGAGATGCTCGGAGATTGCTGGTTTTAGGTTTCATTATAAACCACAATGAACAAACGTCTGAACTGTTTCACTGCAGTGAAAATACATCAAACACGAATCCAGCTGGCAACTAAAGTAAACAAACAAGCAAACTACTATTATACTGCTGTTGCATGAAAATAACTTTTTCTCAAGCCTTGCAGTAAAACAGGAAGTTTGAGTGCGAGGTCAGTAGGGTCATTGCTGTTTTCATTCATTCATTCGTTCATTCGTTTCTTTGTTCATTCATTCATTCTTTTGTTTGTTTCTTCATTCGTTTTTATACTGATTCATTTGTTAATTCATTTGTAATTCATTTGTTTAAATGAATTTATTCATTCATTCATTCATTCATCCATTTGTTCATGCATTCATTCATTATTTATCCACTCATTCGTTTGCCCGTTCACAGATTTGTTTCTTTCATTGATTCATTGATTGTTGTTATACTCATTAATTTATTCATTCATTTGTTTATTCATTCATCCATTCACCCCTTCTATATGTGCGTTTCTGGAGCTGCAAGGCTGGAATATCTGAGTCTGAGCTGAGGGCCTAACAGTCCGTTAGAGGGCCTTGGATCCAGCCGCCCACCCCTGCAAGGCTGTCATGGTGGCGGGGGGGGGGTGGTCTGTAAATGCCTGAGATGAGGCTCACCTCCCAAACCGGGTCGCAGCCGGTTATCGTAGCCGTCCAGCAGCCTGTCCAGAATCCTGGTGAAGATTGTGATGTTGTCCTTGCTGTCATCAGGAATTGGCTCCTTGTGCCCAACCACCGACCTGTGGGGGAGAGGTGGGAGGGGGGGGGCTGAGTTATACCCCTCTGACAGCTTTCCTTATTCGGGCGGAGTGTACTGCAGCTCGGAGGAAGAGGCACCAGCAGATCCGAAAGCAGGCAGGTAGCAGCTGGTGACACACTGGTGAGGATCCAGAAGGTGACAGGTTTGAGTCCCTGCAGTTAACGTACCCTTGAGCAGTAGAGTGAGTTGGTCCATCGTAATAACATAAATGTTTAAAGCTGTAAGATGAACAGGCACCCATGCATTTCCCAGTACTGCTTCTTCAGCATGGGTTTGCAGATGGGTACTGGTACCTATCCCAGCATGCCAGCCCAAGGCAGGCCGCGCAGTCACACATTTAAGTCAATTTAGAGAAACCATTCCACAAGCCTTTGAGCTTTGGGAGAAAACCCAACGTGAACCTCAAACCCCACTGAAGGGGAGGAGCCTCACGGCCCTTGGTGCGAGACCACAGCACAAATCATGATCATAAGCGCAACATCTAGATGGGACAAAACCAGCGCCCATTACAGGCGACGGTCAGAAGATCCCAGCCAGAGGGTTTCTGATAGATTGAGGGGGTTTCTGGGGTTCCTGATTGGCCATGAGGGTTTCCGGGGTTTCTGATTGGCCCCTGGGAACCGTGTTAATTAAGACCTAAACGCCTCGAGGTTTAATTTGACGCAGAGCGCGGCGGTCTGCCGCACGGAGCCTCGGAACAAGGAGAAAACAATGGGTCCAAGTCGGAAAGGATTAGCAGGAGGTTGCCGGGGAGCCCGAATCAGAAACACGCGCCTCCGCTTTGCATAATATTCCGCGAGCGAGCCGTAAATGAGGTCTTCAATATGCATCCAATCTCCGCTTTCTTAATTGCCTTAAATGTGCAGTGCAATCATTATTCTTGAGCTTTTATTCCCAGGCGGACGAATTTGAGAGTCTGACGAGGAGGGTGCGGGGCGAGAGCTCGGAGGGCTTCATGCCCCCCCGCCCCACACCAGGACAGCAGCTCCCGTCACCTGCCAGACCCTCACACGCACCCCACACGAATCACACGCACCCCACACGGCCGCCTGTCATGCAGCAAGGAGGCGTCATTTGCTCTGCAAGTCAACAAGACCAGAACAAACCAAAGGCAGTTAATTAAGGGGAGCATGCGGAGACTCTCGGATTTTGACCAGTGAATGTGCCCCCCCCCCATCCCCCATACCTGTGAGATGGAACTCTCTGGAAAAGGGGTGGGGCTGGGCGTTCTCAGGGTTCCTGTAGAAACCAGCCACTCACTGACTGATAAGTGGTTGCCCTCCCCCAGGTACCCAGGGCTACTGTTTGTTGGGGGGCTGTTTTGAATCCTAGTGTTCCTCACACTAGCCATGAACGTAAACAAATTATGGCACAGATGTAAACAACACAATCAGTCAGAGAGCTTCTCCTACGGTCTGAAAAAAGAAA